CTCTATAGACGCTGAAAAACCATTTGACAAAATTCAACATTCGTTCATGATAAAGACTCTCTATAAGTTAGGTACAGATAGGAAGTATCTCAACATAAATAAAGCCATATATGATAAGCCCACTGCCAATATCATCCTGAATGGAAAAAAGCTGAAAGTTTTTCCCTTAAGAACAGGAACTAGACACAGATGCCCACTCTCACCACTCCTATTCAACACAGTGTTGGAAGTACTAGCCAGAGCAATCAGAGAAGAGAAGGAAATAAAGGGTATCCAGATGGGAAAAGATGAAGTCGAATTGTCCCTGTTTGCAGATGATATGATCCTATATATTGAACAGCCTAAAACCTCTACAAAAAAAACTCTTATTAGAGTTGATAAATGATTTCAGCAAAGTAGCAGGATACAAAATCAACACACAAACATCAATTGCATTTCTATACTCCAACAGTGAACATGCAGAAAAAAGAAATCATGAAAGCTAGCCTCAGAAAAAGAAATCAAAAAAGCTAGCCCATTTACAATAGCCACCAAAAAAATAAAATACTTAGGAATAAAGTTAATCAAGGATGTCAAAAATCTCTACAAACAGAACTACAAACCACTGTTGAGAGAAATTAACGAGGACACAAGAAGATGGAAAGATATCCCATACTCTTGGATTGGAAGAATTAACATTGTGAAAATGTCCATACTACCCAAAGTGATCTACAAATTCAATGCAATCCCCATCAAAATTCCAATGACATTTTTCTCTGAAAGTGAAAAAACTATCCAGACATTTATATGGAATAACAAAAGACCACAAATAGCCAAAGCAATTCTGAGGAAAAAAAAATAAAGCTGGAGGCATAACACTATACTACAAAGCTATAATAACCAAAACAGCATGGTACTGGCATAAAAACAGATATACAGATCAATGGAATAGAAGAGAGAATCCAGAAATCAACCCATACACCTACAGCCATCTGATCTTTGACAAAGGCACCAAGTCTACACACTGGGGAAGAGACTGCCTCTTCAGCAAATGGTGCTGGGAAGACTGGATATCCATATGCAGGAGAATGAAACTAGACCCTTACTTCTCACCATATACCAAAATCAACTCAAAATGGATTAAAGAATTAAATATACACCCTGAAATAATAAAACTCCTTATCGAAAACATAGGGGAAACACTCCAGGAAGTAGGATTGGGTACAGACTTCATGAATACGACCCTAAAAGCACAGGCAACCAAAGGAAAAATAAACAAAGGGGATTATATCAAATTAAAAAGCTCCTGCACAGCAAAAGAAACAATTAACAGAGTTAAAAGATAACGAACAGAGTGGTAGAAAATATTTGCAAAATATAGATCTAACAAAAGATTAATATCCAGGATATACAAGGAACTGATGGGTGGGAGGGAGGAGGATGGAGGGAGGAATCGGTAAAGGGACACGAAAATTAACTACATTGTATATTGATAAAATAAAATTAAAAAAAAAAAAGAAAGAAACTGTTTAGACTGCTCGCCGTCACAAAATCTTCAGACATTTCAAGACTGGTAACAATAAAAGGAATTTTGAAGCTCAAAAAAATGTGAACTGCTTGGGATTAGAAACAGGATTGCCACATCAACGACGTTGGTATTTCGATGACTGATGCAGTATCACCTTGTTTTTATCATGGTCTGAGGATGTCCACCCATATGGCTATTAATTTCTGCCACATTCGGGATCTCTCACCAGCCTGCAAACCAACTTCCTAGAGATTTCGGGAGTGGCCTGTACATTTTATAACTCCTGTACTGTGCCTCCCACCAAAGAACTAGAAAAAGAATCGGGCCTTGCAGAGCTCAGCCACTACTCCAGAAGCCAGGAAAAGACAACTTTTTTTTAAAATAAAATATTTCAGGTGATGGGAAGTAGAAACCTACAATGAAAAAGGTCTCTCTCAAAGCCAGACCCCAAAGATTCTATACTTTATGATTTTATTTATTGAAATCAACCAAGTTTCCCATGGTATTAAGAGTCAAGAGATGCTTACCTCTATGTAGGAAGGAGACAATAATAATTGGAGGAAGCATGAGGAGGGCTTTGGGGACAGCTCAATAACATTTTATTTTGATCTGTGTGCTGGGTATAGGAGTGTGTTCATTTTGTGATAATTCATCAAGTTGTGCACTTAATATTTACGTGATCATATGTATTTTATGCATCAATAAAATGATGTTTTGAAAATCACTCTCTTTACAGACAGAAAGTAGTTTATACTTATTGCCGCCGGCTTGCAGAATCTAATCTATGCACATCGGGCCAGAGACTTAAAAAAAAACCAAGAAACCCGTAAGCTTATTTTCTCACCTTAAATGGTTTTTCATGGTTTTCAAATTCAATAAGAGGTTTCTTTAGGCAGGATTTCATTGAATTTTGGGGCCTAATCAAGCCTTTTATGCACTTGGCCAATCTCTGGATGGGCCAGATTCTGCCTGTGGTCCCAGAGAGAGAACAACTAAGTAATCCTCAGGCCTCCCAGGTCTGACACAGAGGAGAACAGAGACTCAGAGAGCACAGGAAAAGTTAAGGAACTTTCTCCAAATTACACAATGAGTTGCTGGTGGGGGCCTTGTGATTCTCAGTCCAAGGACTATCACTTTTCCACTACATCTCATTCCACAGGGGCCAATTAATAAACATTCTCCTTTGGGGAACTGAGAAAAATGAGCCCAGAGAACCACACTGGTCATTCTCCACATACAAAGTACACAAAGGGGTTTACCAAGTTCCTCTCCAACAGGAAATCATTTGTCTTGGGAGCCAGGAAGAGGAGGAGGTAAGTGCTGAGTCTGCACCAGGGTCTTGCAACACAGCCCAGTGTTTTTGTGGAAACGATGTTCCCCTAATCAAAACACAGTTGCACAAATGGACTCACCCCACTTGAGAAAAAAAAGTTGTTTAAAGCCTATAAATGGGGACCACACAACCCTGATTAATTTTTAAAGTTCTTTCTCCACTGTCTTTTTTAGAAAGTAGCTAAAAATAAAGGCTGGAAACTTGAAATAATGTAAGCAAGTAATCACAACACACACACTGGGCTCTTCCCATATATGGCCACATTATTCTTCAGTCTTTGAAAAGGCCAAATGAAGAGGTGGCCAACGACCAAAATAATCCTTCAGACATTTGAAAACGAGGAGAAAGAACTAGAAGAGTTGGTGAATGACAAACAATTGCAAGGCTCAATGGGGATAAATGACACTGAGAGGGATTAGTTGCCATAGTACTTTAAAAACACGGGCACATGCATTTTGACACTGGCCCCCTTCCATAAAGAAGACTGTTGTGCCCTCTGGCCTCAGCAGTGAGAAAACTACAACTGCAGTAATTTAACATAAAGGACTTAAAGAAGAAAACCAGTGCAGGGACATGACTGAAAATTTAATTAAGGCCCTTTTCAGCATAAAATCTGTAAAGGAGATGAGGGCACATCTCAAGGTCGGAAGAAAGGGGTGGAGACGTGTGAAAGATTTGAATGAGACACAAGAGTATAAATAGCAGAGGTCAGCTCTGGAGGCCAGCTTCCTTATGATAGATGGCTATTAGAGTGTCCACTGGGTCCTACTTGAAATGTTTCTGTACAGAAGATTAACACATTCGTATCTAACAAATGCCACCTTGTATGAGGCACAAGGGAAGTCATATTTTCACAGTATTTTGTGGCTTACAAGGCTTATGTCAGACATAATCCTGGACACCAGGTAAAGCACCTGCTTTTACTGATATGAAAACTGAGGCTCAGTGAGGTTAAGTGACCTAAAACAAGTTCTGTTATGGGTGGCTTAGTGCAAGAGGACTAGAGTAGTGACTGGAAGCTAAATCTCCCAACATGCAGGCCAGGGCTCTTTTCATTCATAAAACCTTTGAAACAGCACTGGCCAGAGTGCCGAGTTTAGGTTTGGATTGCACCTCATCCACTAACTCCCTCTGTGACTATGGACAAGTCATTTCCCCTCTTCTGATTCTCATCCTCAACTGAAAAAGACAGGGCTGTCCTAGACAACAGGAGGTGGGCAGTGGGAGGAAGAAGGAAACAAGTGCGAACTGAGTTAGTCACTGTGCTTTCCGCACTCCTCTGTGAGCCTGTCCTTGCAAATTCCCAGATGAGACTGATGGGCATGATCACCACTTCAGCCTTCGTGTCACAGGCTGAAATATATGCACAGAACCTAGAGAAATGATATCCAAAAGGTAAGACTGGGAAACCGCTTCATTCCTCCAAAAAGACAGTCATGAAAACTACTAAAGAGGCAACGTGAATTCTCAATTTTCATTCTACTGCTTTTTTCTTTTTCACTCCCTAAGGGAGGGGCCTTCCTTATGATGTTTCAGATTCTTTCCCTGTAAAGACACCCTGCATTTTGGTGGCAATCCATGCTTCTAATGGTTTTCCCATGCTTGCCCATAAAGACTTTCTATTTGGGTAGGAGGTCAATAATAATAACAGCAACAAAAATAGCAGCCATCCTTTACTGAGGGCCTACAATATATATTATTGCTGAGCCCTTTCTACCTATCATCCCTAATCTCTACAACTACTAGATGAGGTCATTATTATTTTCTCCATTTTACAGATAAGAAAACTAAGGCTCAGAGAAGCGTAGTGACTTGGCCAAGGAAGGCCATCTTAATAACTTCAGGGCTGGGATTTAAAGTGTTGTCTGGCTGATTCTAAAGCCTGTTCTTTCTTTTACTACTCCATTATGAAGCCTCTAGTCAGCATGCTAAATGCATCAGACTCTGGGTAATGCTGCTTGTTCGTGATTTTTCCTCACCTCCATCCCACAGAATGGAATGAATACCTTCCAAGTGGTCACAAAGCTCTCCCAGCTGGAGGACAAACAGGGTGGACATGAGGTGGGCTGGGCTGCTGGAATGGTAAAATGACCCCACATGCTTTCCCCTGCACCAAAGGGATCAGGACCAGAATTGTGATCTCATTTCCAAATCACTAACCTGGTGAGGCACAAGCCCAAGAGAGGTTGGCGGCTCATTCATTCGGTCATCACTGCTGCTGGCAATGGCATAGCCCCTGGGGAAAGGAAACAATTAGAGCTGCTCATTTAATCAGAATTTATGTTTAACACATGTGAGGGGGCTGGCCAGTGAGCTCAGCTGGTTAGAGTGCAACCTTGTAACACTAAGGTCACGGGTTCGGATCCCTCTATGGGCCAGCTGTGAAAAAAAAACCACATGTGAAGATGATCTGGAGAACATCCACGTAAGATTTATAGGGACAACCAAAATGCCCCTTACTGAGCAGCACAAGCTAGCAGAGAACTAATTTCCCTGGGAGGGAAGGCAAGACGAATAATAAAAACGCACAGTTTGGAGTCAGAAAGACCAAAGCTTGTGAACACAGGCAAGGTGCTTAAAGTTCTCTGTGCTTCAGGTCTATCATCTACAAAACAGGAATAAGGGGTTTGTGATGAATACATTAGGAATATGTTAGATAAATGGCCAAGTGCAATGTTTGGCACACAATAAGTCAATAAATGTTAATTCCCTTACTCTGAGATAGACTTGTAAAATGCAACAGCACATTTTTGCATTGAAATTTGAAGTGGAACACTTTCTAACCTTGGGAGGAAGGAGAAATAAAAGTGAGGAGTTAACTGGTCAGGAAAACTATCACACTCCTCCCTGAACAACAGTGTGATGCTTAGTTATATCACAGAAGAGATGCAATGCAGGACCTGGTGTATAACCTAAGACCAGGGCAAACATGGTAGATAGAGGGTCGGTATCAAGGAAACACAGCATCACCTCTCAAAGATTTTATCCCAAATACTTCCTGTCAGGAGGGACAATAACCTTAAATGGCAGGACAGCTAAGGTGGATGACAAACATAAGAGAAGACAAAAAAACGCTGCTTATTTTTCATTTAACCCCAGAGCATTTATACTAGTTACATATGCTACCAAAACTGCACAGAGGCCATCTTTTCAACTGCATAGAAAAGCTCTAAGTCACAATAAATAGGATATTTGTGTTAATTTGCTTATTGACTTTCTGAGAACTGGAAAAATAAATCTTTCAAACATTTGATTCTCTCCTGCCATATTACAAACAGCATAGCATAGTGATGGAGTTTGGAGCTACACTGGCTGAGCTAAATCCCGGCTTTTCTATTTACTAGCTATGTGAATTTTATCAACTTTTTCTCTCTCTGTCTCAATTTCCCCACCAAAATTGAAATTAACAATAATAGTTCTATTTGCAAAATATGCATCTGACAAGGGGTTAATATATAGAATATACAAACAGCTCAGACAACTTTACAGCAAAAAACCAAATAATCCAATTAAAAAATGGGCAAAGGAGCTAAACAGACATTTCTCAAAGGAAGACATCCAAATGGCCAACAGTTATATGAAAAAATGCTCAGCATCACCAATCATCAGGGAAATGCAAGTCAAAACCACTCTGAGATATCACCTCACCCCAATCAGACTGGATATTATAAAAAAGACAGAGAACAACAAATGCTGGTGAGGATGTAGAGAGAGACGAACTTTCCTGCACTGTTGGTGGGACTGTAAATTAGTACAAGCTATTATGGAGAACAGTATTGGAGGTTCCTTAAACAACTACAGATAGAACTTCCATATGATCCAGCAATCCCACTACTGGAGATATACCCAGAGGATTGGAAAACATCAGGTTGAAGGGATACCAGCACTCCCATGTTTATTGAGGCTCTATTTACAATAGCTAGTTGATGGAACCAACCTGAATGTCCATCGACGGATGACTGGATAAGGAAATTGTGGTATATGTACACAATGGAATACTACTCAGCCATAAAAAAGAATGAAATTCTATTCTTTGCAAAAACATGGATGAGCCTCGAGGAAATTATCTTAAGTAAAACAGCCCAGGTACAGAAAGAGAAATACTGCATGTTCTCACTCACAATTGGGAGCTGAATCCATAAATAAACAAATGAACAATAAAGAGAGACAGAGAGAAAGAAAGAAACAACAATCACAGTAATATGTTGAACTTTTAGAAAATTAGAGGTGGAAAAGGGGAGGGGAGGGAGAGAGGGAGGGGAGACTAACAAGGAATTGGTCAACGGACACAAAGAATGATTGCATATTGTAATGATGAATAAGCTAACTATACTGATCTAACTATCACACATTCCACACAATTACTGAATATCAACGTTGTACCCCACATGCATGCATAAAAATAAATAAATAATAGTTCTTTCTTAATAGGTTTGCTATGAGATTAAATGAGCTAATATTTGTGAAGTTAGAACAGTGCCTAGTGCAAAGTAAGCCCTATATAAGTGTTTGAAAAATAAACCACAGCATATTTTTCATATAGTCATATGTAAATATCTGCTTGACTTCAATCTGGCTTGACTATCTGACATTCGATAGCATAGTCTTAGCTAGGTATTGAGAAAAATCTTAAATTGTTATAATTTTTCTTTTCTCTTTTCTTCCTTTCCTTTCTCTTCTTTCTTTTTAAAAAATTACTAACTCTATTTTAAAAATTAATTTTTGTCTCACTTCTATTTAATAGAAGAAAAATTCATTCTATTGTATAAGTCATAAAGTAAGGTTTCCTTGCTTGGAGAAGATAGAGTGTCCAGACCACAATTGTGCTAATTTTGTATCTAGACTATAACATATATACAATGTGTTAAACATATAGACTATTAAAAGGCCCAAGGTCAAGTTAAATCAAAAACACCAGTCCACTAATTTTCTTCTTCTCACATGCAAGCCAAATATACTACGAGTGCTTAATAAATTAAAAAATATTTTAAAAATTGGTGTGGTACTTGTAAACTAGGTGTCAGAACTAACTCTCTCATTGAGAATAAATAGAAAAGCTAGACGAAGTATAAAACCTTTTGTTTGAAAGCATCAAAGAGCTACCAAAGTAGGGAAGAATTATAGAGCCCAGATCTGTGAAAGGAGAGAAGCACATAAAGGTAAACCAGGCATCTGCAAGGAGGGCTTATCCCCATAAAGAGATTGCCAGCCTCCAAACGCAGTGGCCATAGGGTCAGAAGCCGAACAGTGATACTGACAGACTCATGGGGCTACAGGCAAAAACTGGAGTTTGAGGTCTGCCAATAAGGAGGAACCATGAAAAATACCCCAGGCTTTGGGTTGGAATCACCAGGGGCTACATCCTTAAAGTAAGAGTGAGCCAGAAATAGACCAGCCCTAATTGGATTAAGGGGTTCTAGGACTACACTTAGCCTGGCAGTTTGCCAGAAGGAAATATTAATCACATCGTCTGTATAATTTTTCATATGTAATGTTCAGTACTCAATCGAAAGTAACCAAACATATTCAAGGAGTTGGAGAAATGTAAATACTAACTGGATATGTGATGATATTAAGAAATTGCCTTTATGCTATGGAAAATGTCACATTTAGTCATCTTGGATCCCACTCACTTGGTAACATTGTTTTACCCCCTTCCTTCTTCCAAGCACCTTTTGATTTCTCTTGTTTCTGAGAACAGTAAACCTGTTCATCTATTGTAGAGTAACCCTGTGACTCAATATTACCATAGTGAGATGTCATTTTGTGCTATTTTGAACAATTAAAGACTTTTTTGAAATTAAAAAAAAAAAGAAATTGCCTTTGTTTATATATGTAAAAATAGTAGAGATACACACTAAAAAGATACATTTTTATGAACGAAATGTTAGGTCTTAGATTTGTTTTAAAATAAGCCCAGTGGGAAGAGGAAAAAAATGTGAATAACTATAAATAAATGATGATTGGCCATGTGTTGGTAATCGTTGAAGCTGGGCAGTGAACAAAAGATGTATATGTAAATATGTATGTATATCTTCATGCATATATATTTGAATTTTCCATAATAAATTTTTATTTCTTAAAAAATCAGTTATATAAAGAAATAATATGTGACCAAAAGCCAAGAAAAACAATAGACAATAGGAACAGACCCATAGGAGATACAGATAATGGAGATATCTGATAAGGACTTAAAAAAAAACACGATTAAATGTTTTCAAGGAATCAAAAACACCAAAATCACAATTTCAGCAGAGAACAGGAAACATGTAAAACAAAACCAAATAGAAATTCTAGACCTGAAACTAATGAAATTAAAAACTCAATGGATGGTTTTAACACATATTAGTCACAGAAGAAGAGAGAATTGGTAAACTGGAAGATGAGCCAAAAGCAAATAGCCAGACTAAAGCAAGAAAAGTCAAAATGATTGAAAATACAGAAAAGACTATGAAAGACACACAGGTTGATTCTGACACATAACTGCAGTCTCAAAAGAAAAGGAGCAAGAGAGAATAGGGCAGAAGCAAAATTGTAAGGAAAATGTTACCAAAACTAAATGAATAAAATATATAACAATAATAACATCTTTTGGGGCTTAAAATATATTTAGCATTTTTAAAAATGAGTGTGCAGAAGACACTGCTGGTTGCCTACCCAATATCTATTCTCCTCTTATACCTTATTCCAATTTTAGTTAGAGAGGCAATGTGCCCATCCAAAAAGACTACATTTGTCAGTCTTCCTTGCAGCTAGGAGTGGCCATGTGATACCAGAGTTACAATCAATAGGTGAGCTCTTTAAAAGGGGGCAGACTGGGCTGGCCCCATGGCTCACTCGGGAGAGTGTGGCGCTGGTAGCACCAGGGCCGTGGGTTAGGATCCTGTATATGGATGTCCAGTGCGCTCACTGGCTGAGTGTGGTGCAGACCACACCGTGCCGAGGGTCGCGATCCCCTTACCGGTCAAAAAAAAAAGGGGGGGGGGCAGACTTAGCTGACCACAACTTTTACCCTTGGCCATTCCTTTAAGCAATAGAAGCAATACTGGAGGTAGATCAGCCTTCTTGTGACCACAAGGTGACAAGCCTCTGGAAGAAAGCTAAGAGTGGCTGAGTGAAAGATAAGAAGAAACTCAAATCCCTGATGGCATAGTGGATGGAGCCTTTGTACCAGCCCTGGGCTGCTTGCCTCTGAACAAGAATCTCTGTTACAATTGTATTCTGCTAAATACAATTTCTAACATACATGATTCATGTATTGCTTTATAAATGTTCAGGATTAAGAAGATAAAAACTTTCTAATAGAATAAAAGCATGAAGGTCCTAAGGCCCCTACAAATTTTTATTCTTCTTTACTAATGACAGTAAATGCTACCCAATATTGAGGGCTTATTAAGTGCAAAGGACTTGATAAGTGATCAACATAAATTATCTCATTTAACTTCATTTAAAACTCCCAACAAATATTTCCCACTTATAGATGACAATACTGGAAGTCAGAGAAGTTAGTTCTATAACTTGCCTAAGGTCACCTAGCTAGGAAGAGGTGGGTGTATAATACCAAGACTATATAGTTCTCAAACCCATTCTTTCTACTACTATGTTATACTCTGGTCATGTCCACAAAGATTTGCTTCTATAATAGCTTTATCGAGATATAATTCATATACCATAAAATTCACCCTCTATATAGATTTTTAAGGACAGTTTTTTTTCATTTATACTATAAACTTTTCTTAGTTGGAATGTAACTTATTCTCAAATTTCTGATCATATACGAAATTTGAAAAATAAAAACCATACTACAAAAGAAAACAAAAATCACAACCTACAGCTCAAACAGTTACTATTAATAGTTTGGGGGCATTTCTTCCTGCTATTGTCTCCCTTGCCCCCCCCATTCCTTCCCTTTCTTTCTCCCTTCTTCTTGCCTTCTTTCTCTCTCCTCTCTTGATAAATAGATAGGCAGACATATATGTTTATATACATGTTTATAAATAAACATAATTGATACAAAATATATACCATATTATATCTTGATTATTTAACATTATGTGGCATTTTCCATATTATTAAAATTCTTTGAAAACACGAATGGCTGCATACAATTCCATCATGAGTATGTACCATGATTTAGTTAACCATTCAACACTGTTGGGTCTTGAAATTGCGACTGACCAAACGGTAGTGTATAAGACAAAGTCGCTGTCCTCTTGGAGCTTACATTTTAATTTGAGTGTAGTACACCTTCCAGTGTAGATTACCTCAAAGGATTGTTTTGAAAATTACACAGCAAATGATAACTATTATATTGAGTGATGGTGTGTTAGGCAGACGGAGTTTGCAGTGGAAACCATCTGGCACTGTGCAATTAGGTCACACAAGTCACACCTTTCTTTGTGGGGGGTAGGGTTGGGGACACTTCTCCATTTGGAGTGGTGGTGCATTACGTCACAACCAGAGATGAGTACCCAGGTTCCGCACACTCTACCTTTCTCTTGCTTGCAGCAATGACAGCAGGAAGCCACCGGCTCTCCCTGGTGTCCATCAACAGAAAAGTGACATCATGACTTTCGATGAGCTGCTCTAGTTGCTCCACGTCCCTGCGGGCTTGCTCCAGAGTGACACTGGAGAAGTTCACGGGGTGTCCAGGCATAGGGATGCTCATGTTGAACCCTCTGGCATTCTAGGGAAATACCCAGATGTGTTTATGTGTGCAGCAAAAGTCTGGGCAATATCTCAGAGCCCATGCTTCCCCATAGCTATCAGCATGTATGTGTGGTCACATAAATCAGAAATTTCCCTGTGCACAACCATTCTGCTTTTCCTTACCCTACCTGTGCCCTCTACCTTCTTCACCTCTGCATCTTAGACTACCTTGTCCTGTTGCCCCAGAGTCCCTGAAGCAGGATAAGCAGCAGGCAGAAACATGAGGATCCTAACTTCAAAGTGGGAACGAGCACTTCCCATCTGAGGCAAGGAAGACACTGGAGAAAACTGTGTATCTTTGTCTCTTTTCTCCCATCTCCTGTTGCCCCAGAGTCCCTGAAGCAGGATAAGCAGCAGGCAGAAACATGAGGATCCTAACTCCAAAGTGGGAACGAGCACTTCCCATCTGAGGCAAGGAAGACACTGGAGAAAACTGTGTATCTTTGTCTCTTTTCTCCCATCCACGGCTAAGAAACTTTATCACAACACCTCTGCCTGCCCAAGTACCCTCTTTCCAGCAGGGCTGTCTCTTCCTACTGGCTTTCAAATTACCCTCCTCTCCATTTCCTTGGTAAATAACACTTCCAGATAAGGTGTTCTAACAAAAATAATTTGATTTAATACATTTCCATAAGATTAGAATGACTGATAGTCTTGCCTTAATCTTCTCAGGACTATATGCGCTTTAAAAAAAAAACAACTCAAGAATGAAAAATTCTACTTACAGCCAGAAAATCTACATAGGAGTGTGTAGATATTGGGGAGGGGTGTGAGGAGGTGGAGTGGGCGATAGAGTGTTGTGCAAAAGTGAGGCTTCATTCTCCGTCCAAAAGTAGAAGCTGCCCAGCAATCTGATTTCTCCGGGGGGACTCAAGATTTTTCACAGGGGCTTTAGACCAGCTCTATAATTTACCATTTGCCCCTTGATGATCCCATAATGTCTTGGCAGATTAACAGTAAATCACATTAGATGCTAATGAAGCCAGAAACATTAACTTTGCACAGAAAAGAAAGTGTTCTAGAAGCACAAACTATACCCTTCATCCCCTGCACCATTGGCCACAGGAAAGTGAATGAAAACATCAGCTTTTTCATTCCTTTGCCAAAACCCCTTGCCTACTGGAAAAATAACTCAGGGAGCAGGGCAAATAGGTCTTTTTACAAAGGAAAATCTATTTTGTAGATTATAAATATTTTCTCCTTATCTTCAACTTTAAACCTAAGCTCTGGAATTCCAGAAAGCAACAACAATAATTTCAAAAAGAATAATAAAAAAAAGTTGCAAGCAAAGCTGGAAAGGATGCCAGGCAGAAAGGATATCAGAAAGAAGAAAGGTTCACAAACAAGTTCATTTTAATTATGACACCACCACAAAGACATCTATCACGATCTTACTAGTTAATTCATTAAGTATTGTGTATCTACCATGTACCAATACTGTAATAAATAATAAAAGTAACAACTACAGTAATAATAATACCTTACTGCCATATTGCAATTGACAAAGCATTTTAAATAGGGGTAGCTTGATCCAAAAAGTTATTATGTAGCTATTTTAATAATACCAAGATTGAAATGTAATTATGCAATACCAATTTTGAACTTTTGAATGATACAGTAACTGATCCTCACCCACATAAACTTTTCTAATCTAATTGAATCTCTACTCGCTAAAAATTCAGCCAGTAAGCCGACTTAGGAGCCCATCAGTTAGGTCCACACTCCAGAGGCTGGAATTCAGCAAGTTTCAGCACAGTGGTTTTCTACCTTGGCTGTGCATTATTAAAATCACTTAGAAAGTTTTAAAAATTTCTAATTCCCAGGCTTTTCCCCAGCCAGACCACTTAAATTGGAATCTCTGAGAGTGGGCCCAGGCCCCAATATTTTCTAAAATTCCCCAGATGACTCAAAGGTGTAGACAGGGTGAGGTATAATTTACATAAAGTGAAATACACATATCTCATATGTATAGTTCAACGTATTTTTTTTTTCCCTTTTTGTCTTTTTTCGTGACCGGTAACGGGATTGCAACCCTCGGTGTCGCGCCCGCACCGCGCTCAACCAGTGAGTGGACCGGCCTCTATATGGGATCCGAACCCTCGGCGGGAGCGCCGCCACGCTCCCAAGCGCCGCCGCACTCTACCGAGCGCGCCACCGGGCCGGCCCTAGTTCAACGTATTTTGACAAACTGCAGATTAACCATTGCATACACCTATCAAGACACAGAACACTCCCATGACCCCAGAATGTGCTTTTGTGACCCTTCCAAGTCAATCCCTATTACCCCCTGAGGCAAACACTGTTTTGACTTTATAGGCCATAGATTAGTTTTGCCTATTATAGAACCTCATATAAGTGACATACTAGAGTAGTTACAGTACTTGTTTGTGTTTGGCTTCTTTTGCTTAATATAACACTTTTGAGGTCCATCCATATTGTTAAGTATCAACATCATGTTCCTTTTTGTTGTATGACCATGCCATAGTTTGTTAATTCATTCTCCTGTTGATGGTGATTTGTCTATTTGTAGATTTTGGCTGTTATAAATATAAAGTTGCTATGGACATTTTTGTATTTTAGTCTATATATGCTTTCATTTCACTTAGATAAATATTTACAAGTATAATTTCTGGGTCATTAGATAGGTATATGTTTAATTTCATGAGAAACAGCAAACTGATTTACAAAATGGTTTTTTTACCAACAAAGTTTGAGAGTTATGGTTGCTCCACAGCCTGACAAAGTTTAGCACTGCCAATCTTCTTAATTTTAGACATTTTAGTGGGTATGTAGTGATATATCTCTATGGCTTTTTTTATTATTACAAAGTTCTTTTTGTTTGCTTTTGGTGGCTGGATGGTACATGTATCCGAACACTTAACCTTGGGTTTCTACGGTTTTAATTCATATTTCCCTGATGACTACTAATGTTGAGCATTTTCAGGTGTTCATTGGTCATTCAATAGATCTTCAGAGGAAGTAAGTGTCTGTCCAGGGCTTTTGCCCTTCAAAAAAAATATGGTTTGTCTGTCTTCTTACAGAGTGGTATGAGTTGTTTACATACTCTGTATGAAAGATGTTTGCCAAATATATGTACTGTGAAAATTTTTTCAGTTTGGCCAGGCTTTTCACTCTCTTAAGGGCATCTTTCAAGAAGCAGAAATTTTAAATTTTGAAGAAGTCTAAGTTATCAATTTTTTCATTTATGGTCAGTATTTAATGGGTCCTAAGAAATCTTTGCCTGTCATATGACCACTAAGATGCTTTCTCCTAGAAGCTTTACAGTTTTAGCTTTTATCTTTAGTTCTATTGTCCTTCTGGGCTGTCACTCAAGGGCTCAGAATGTTCAATGAGGCCTCTCCACTCTGGATAGTCGGGACTCCAATGCCTCCCAGCCTCATGTGAGCCCTGGAATCTCTATTCTGCTCACAGTTCCCTGCTGATGTTTTTGGCCCAAACTTACAGAGTCGTGCCCCGAGCATGTGCAGCTTACTATTCAGTCAAAGACTCAAGGTGCTGCCAAGGCAGTTTTCTGGAAATCCTTCTCTGCATAGCTTCCTCATATCTGGTACTATGTCCTGCAAATTCCAGCCCCCTCAGCTGCTCTGGACTGTTTCCTCAGCTCATCAAGACCAAGCATATCACCTTGTGCTCCCATAGGCTCTAGCACGGGCCAGAAAGTGACTTCATGCAATAAGCTGGGACAAGCATTCTTTCTTTCCATTTGTCTGGGACCACAGTCTTTCACTGCTTCTTGTTCATTGTCTGAAAAGAGTCATTCTATGTATTTTACAGAGGTGCATAATTGTTGATGGTAGGAGAGCTAGTCCAGTATCAGTAACTTATCAGGGTTGGAAGCAGATGTTCAGAGATGGGTTTTTAAACCTCGAGAGTGGCTCCATAATCCTACATTTTATTACCTTGCCTTAAAAAAAAAAAAAAAAAAAAAAAAAAAAGGTGGTGACCTCAAATAGTTATTTGACTTATAAAAGATCAGTTGCTTTCTTATTTAACTAACTCAACCCCAGCATAAGGCATGATATTTATAGCAGAGCAGTTCTTTTCATGTAATTTTATCACAGCTTTTTAAAAAGGCACCTGGAAAGGGTCAATGTGACACCTATATCCTGGAGTAGAAGAGAAGGAATTACTCAAGGAATACCATGCACATAAAAATCAAGAGTTTCTTATGACCTGGCCTTTTGAGTTACTCGAAGGTCTGGGGCCAGAATATGGTTAGTTTGGGTCAAGTATATTTTAGAGCAAAAACCAGAAGTCAGACATTCCACTTCTGAGGGAGCATCAAAGGTTGTCCAGGCCAGCCATCCAATGAAAGCACCCTGTCCCTAGATCTGTCACCCACAAGAGACTGGGGAAAGAGTGCTCACGACTTCCTAATACATTTCTTTACACCTTCCCGTGAATCTAGAATTTCAAAATTTTATTTATTTATTTGTCTTTTTCGTGACCGGTAAGGGGTTCACAACCCTTGGCTTGGTGTCACCCGCACCGTGCTCAGCCAGTGAGCGCACCGGCCATACCTATATAGGATCCGAACCCATGGCAGGAGCGCCACTGCGTCCCCAAGTGCCGCACTCTCCCGAGTGCGCCACAGGGCCGGCCCTAGAATTTCAAAATTTTAAATTTTAAGAAAAGGTCTATTACCCATTACTTTTTTTTTTTCCATGTCAAATGTCACTAGACTTCAAGCACTGAGATTAGAATTTTGCAGTAATTGAACAAGTGAGGGATGGCACAAATGACATAATCTTGCATTAATAGAACTGGCCTTTCTAACTTTTCTAGGTAACCAGATATCTGGGAAGTTTGCATTTAACACATGTCCTAACTTAAAAAGGCCACTTTTCTTCCCTGGAATACTCTTCCTGACCTGTGGCCTCTCCTGCCATTCTCAGCTCCTTGCCTGGGTCCTCCCCAGATCCTTTTCCCTAATTGATTCCTTCAGAGCTCAGTCCAAATGTCACTTCTTCAAGAAAGCTTTCCCTGGCCTCCCCAAAACTGTCCAGGTCCCAATTTCCATATCTCTTTAGCACCCTCTACTTACGCTCCTTAGCACTTACTACTTCAATTATAATTAAATAATTATTTAATTATTCAATATGTACCTCCTGAACTAGAACATAAGCTCTATGAGGGCAGGGCCATGTTTTCTTCACTGAGGCCAGGCTTGTCTCCATGGCCTGTTGTACGGAAGGTGATGAATACACATCCATTAAAAGAAAAAAATTACACTAAAATCAAACTTGCAAAGAAAATCCCTTAAGCCCAGCTAACCAACATATTAAACAGTTTCACAAATATTTTTCATGAACTTGATGAATCACACTAGTACATTGACAGATTCTGTACATTATCTACTATTATTTATAAGGCATGAGAGATAAAAGTGTAAGAGACTTGGACCTTGACCTCAAGGACTTAATAATCCAAAAGGGAATACAGAGTAACACGATGTACATGCTAAGGAAGAGCTTGATCCCAGTGGGCTCATGTTTCCAAGAAAAGTTGGACTTGGTCTCTAAGGTCCAGCATGATCTGGCCCTTGTTTCTGTCCTAGCCTAGTCTGTCTTCTTTGTCCCCGTGCTTCAGAGACCCTGGTTTTCTTTCAGTTCCACAAAAGCACCATACATCTTCCTACCTCAGGCATTTGCATAGACAGCTCTGCTAGCCTTAGTACAGCTAACTCCCACTCATCCTTCAGGATTTAGCTTCCTCAAAGAGTCTTCCCTGATCCTACTTCCAGACCCCAGTCTAGGTCAGGACTGCCTGTTATACATTCTCATGGCAACTGAGCTCCTGTTTCACGAACTTATTACAATTATAATTATTTGTGAAATTATTTGTTAATGACCATCTCCCCGACTAGACTGTAAGTTTCATGAGCAGGACAGGAAGCTACATCAGTCTAGTTCCCCTGTCCCTAGCACATATTTAGACCTTAAATAAATATCTGATGAATGAGTAAGTAAAAGAATAACTGAACAAAAAATAGGTGGAATTGTATTGGGTTGCAGACAATGGCTAGGATCTGGGTAAGCAAAATAAGTGGGAGAACTCAGATTCAAAGACAGGTCTCTCTGGGCCCAAAGGGTCTCTGGGCCCCAAGGGGACTTAATAACACTCTCCAGTGATTGATAGACTGGATTATTCTTCCCAACTATGCACTTCCTCCCTCTAATAGAATTATATATCCATACTCTTTGCAGAACCCCCTACTAGGAAGGCAGAGTATACTGACCAACTCCACTGACTTTGGGCTTGGCCCTGTGACTTGCTTTGGCAATGGAAATGGAAGATATTCACTGTGCCACTGTTAAGTCGAGACTTTAAGAGGCATGATAATTTCCAACCCTTTTAAGCCTCCACCTTCTATCATAAGAAGAGTAGGAACCACATGACTATTTCTCCATTAGGCTAAATTTTGAAATAATGACATATAGAGCAGACTGGAACCTGATTGGAAGCTTGGAGTTCAACCTCGCCCAGAAGCTGAACCATAGCCAACCACATCTGTGAGTACAAAATAAACATTTGTTAATCGGAAGCCAATGAGATTTTGGGATTGTGTGATATGCAATACTGTCACAGTAGAAACCCGACTAATATGCCTCCTGAATGACAGGGTTGAAACTTATTCTTATTTCTTTTGGCATCCAACACATAGCTGGATAGATAGTGGGTCACTGATCAATACTGTTGAATTAGACCCAATAATGTTCCTGAGGGACACCGGCGAAATGGACAAAACCATCAATGTTGCTTCTAAAGCAAAGACTTCTAAAACGGATGAATCTAATGCTGAGTGACTAAAGAGAGAAACTGAGAAAGCAGGCTTTTTCTGGCTAGGCCTGAGAGCCTCTTCTGCCACTATAAGTATAAGCAGATGCTTTGGAGACACCTAACCTAACTCCTGTCAGATAAATTGATTAAGCATTCAAAATGCAGAATCTCTTTTGCTAGATGACCTTAAAACACTCACAAGATTTTGAATCAAATGAGCTGAATGACTTATTATCTGGTGTTTCTAAAGTAAATGATGTAACTCAAAAGTAAGAAGCAGCTAGAGCCCAATCTTTCTTCTGTACAGAGATTTGCATCCAATCTAATTTCTTAAACCTGTACTAAGTAACCACCAAATATTCTGGTGATGGAGGAAGAATAATATCCTAGATCTGAGCCACCATAAATCCCTTCAGAACTGGGCAGGATATAAAAATATACATACCCCTAAATTCCACAACTTAAACTCATAATGCTTTACATCTTATAAAACACTTTTTTCATATATTCTTCATTTCATGTTCACCAGCATATATGAGAGTTTTGTTGTGTTTTTTAATCCCTATCTCTGAGATGAGGAGACAGCTCAGCCACATGATGAGTGCCTGGTAGGAAGTGACAGATGTCTGACTCTCTGGCAACAGTACCACAGGGCTTCATTCCCCATGGCAAACATTTAAAGATATAGAGAACACCTCTGACATTCCCAAAAATCATCAACATACCACTCCGGGGAATATTGAGGAGACAGCTCAGCCACATGATGAGTGCCTGGTAGGAAGTGACAGATGTCTGACTCTCTGTCAACAGTACCACAGGGCTTCATTCCCCATGGCAAACATTTAAAGATATAGAGAACACCACTGACATTCCCAAAAATCATCAACATACCACTCCGGGGAATATGTTCTGGAGCCGGTCTGCCGCAGCTATGGCCTTGGGCTTACCACCCCCTAGGCAATCTTCAAACTCATAGAGAGGCTGCCTCACAGGATTGGAGTAGGAGATCTTGGCATTGTCCACAAATGTGATGTGTCTGACGCCCCAACCCTGCATAGAAACAGGAGATCACAGTGTGTTTTTGACAAACACTTCACAGAGTGTCTCTCTTAAAATCCTGAAAGGGGTGTTGTTTTGGAGCAGCTTGGGAAACTAAAAATTCAGGAAACTTCAGAAATTGAATTTAACAAAATCAGTTTTTGATAAACACAATGTTGACTTCCTTTAAAAGACAAAATAATTATTCACTCAGTGCCTGGTTTCTGAGACTAAAATATCAGAGTGGGTCTGACTAATAAGTCTTTATTTTTGACAGCAGCGCCAGAGAAAGACTTGGAGGTGAATCCCATAAAAACTGTCTATGTTTCTGTTTTAAAAGTATCAGCAATAGCCCCTAAACATCCTTGGTTTCCCTTAATGAATAATTAAGTATAAATAACAATTCCTCTTGAAGTTCATTTAAAGCCTGAATTTACTACTCAGAAAAATGATTTACAAGTTATTTCCCATTGTATGGTATTATAGAATATTTTATACTATTTCTCCCAGAGATAAAATCCTTATCAGTAATCTGGAATTTAGGGGATGATTCTATATTCTCAGAAGTAATTTTCACGATTTCATACACTTCAATTATATCTCATAAAGTTTTATAGAACCACACAATTTTAAAGTTGGATGGGATCTCTAAAACCCTTAGTCTTACCACTTTATTTTGTAGATATGGAAACTGAAGCCCAGAAAAGATAAGTGACTTGCCTAAGGTCATACATCTGCTTAATGGCAGAGAATAAATGAGATTTCTGGAGTTGCAACCAAATGAAGATGCCTATGTTTTGGGGGTGGGGTGGGGTGGGTGTATTTTAGTAGATCATAAATAAGCATTGTAACCTAAGAGAAGTACTGCCATGACTGGCTACAAAACTGAGAATCTGCCTCCTTCTTATTTCAATATCCTTCCATTAGGGACCGTGAGACTCAATTAGACTGACGGTTTCAGGGGGACAGTCAACAAGGACCCAAGAATTGCTTTCAGGGTTGAGAATGACAGGCCAGAGTCCACTCATACATAAGCATAGTTTAGACTGGCTGTTTGTTTTGAAGCCCACTGGCAACCTTTTGGTACCTTCTCAAGTTTTGTAAGTTACTTTCATCAGCTAAGCAACCTACCATGAAGGGAGAATAATACTATGGAAAATTCAAAGGTCACTTGTGCTTGCTTTGGAGATACTTATTTCTGAAGTATTTTGGCATTCCTTACAGCAAAGGAATCCTGCTGAATGGATAGCAAGGAAGGCAGTGTGGGAAGGTGCTGTGCCGTAGGAAGAAAGCCAAACACATTACAAGCATGCCATAGGTTAGTCACATGCAGGTGGTATCTGCACACTTAACTTTTGGCTTCCTGGAATGCTACTCAGTTTAAATGGCTAATCTGCAAAGATTAAAGAAAATTACAATACTCTGTGCTGGTGAGGACGTAGTGGTAAGAAAACCACCTTACTGTTTGAGAACATTAAACTGGTGTAATTATTCTGGAAAGCAATTTGGCAGTATGCTTTTAGAATCTTAAAAATACTCATATCCTATGATCTACTTCTAGAAATTTACTTAAGAAATAATGTGACATAATGGTACAGATGTTCTTTGCAACACAACTTATAATTGTAAAAAACTGTAAACAATGTTAATGCCAAACATTAGGGGAATGTCTCAGTAAATTACGTTTCATCACATAGGGAGATATATTCTACAGCCATTAAAAAGGCTTTACAGGCATTATTTTTAATGACACAGGAAAGTGTTTACAATGTTAATTGGTGAAAGGGACTCTATGACATACCAAATAAGATTTAAAAATATATATTAAACAAGTGTTGGAAGAAGATTAGTGAAAAAAGTGGTAGAAAAATAGATGTCTTCTTACTGCTTTATAATTATAGAGTACTTATAGCTTACAAATCCATAGTGGGTCTACACTGACTTTATAATTCTAAAAAATATTAGGAAAATCTAAGCACCTAATAATTCTAGAAGCTAGAAAAAAATAATAGATTCCACAAAAGGAGTAAGAAATTAATAGAGATAAAAGTAGATATTAATGAATTGAAAGCAAAACAAAACACTAAAGAAAAATTGCATAATAAATAAATAAAGGTTTTAGTTCTCCAAAAGGGCTAATACAATAGACAAGCCTCTCTGGAGAGGCTGAATTAGAAAAAAGAGAGAGAAAACACAAATATGTAACATTAGGAATATGGAAAGATTACAAAGGAGATAAAGAGAAGATTTAAAAGAGAATACCATATACATTTTATGTCAAGTAATTTTTAAAGTTGGATGAAATAGATTTGCTAGGAAGACAAACTAACTTAAAAGCAGTATAAAATTTAAAAAGTGAATCAACGTAGAAACATTTGCAAAAGTTCCCAGAGATTCCCTGTACCGCGCCAACCAACAAAATTCCAAAGGCATCAGGCCTAGGTGGATTCATAACTCAATCTTACCTAATTGTCAAGAAACAGATAACTCATTTATTTAAACTATTCTGGAGCACTGAAAAAGGCAGAAAGTCTTATGTTTATTTTATAAAGCGAGCATAACTCAGCTATAAAATATACAAAGACAGAACAAGGAAAAACATTACTACAGGCCAACCTGACTTATGAATTCAGATATAAAATTTACAAATAAATATTACCAACTGAATCCCATTGTGTATTACAAGAGTAAGATACCATGAACAAATAGGGTTTATTGTAGGAATACTCAACATAAGAATACTTTGATGGTCTTGACAAATGTATTTGATAAAGCTCAACATTCATTTCTGATATAAACTCAAAGAAACAGAAATCAGCTTTCTAACTTACAAAGAACATTTAGCAGAAATCAATATCAAATATCAAAATTAAAGGTAAAAACAAGAGGCATTCTCATGAACATCAATAACAAATGAAAGATGTCAACTCTCTCTGCTATTTCTCAACATTACTACAGAGTCCTAGCCAATCTCTATAGCTAATCCTGTAAGACAAGGAAAGAACCGGAGATATGAATGTTGGTGAGGAATACTATCAAACTATAAAATTCAAAAGAACCCGAATGGCTATTAGAACTAAGAGGACTTAAAAAGATGGCTAGATAAACTTGTGAAACGCACTATCTTTCCTATATCTCAGTAACAGTCAACTGGAAAATTTAAGAAGAAAATATCTCTTAAAATCATTAATTATGTAGAAATAACATATTTAAACCAAGTAAGACATGTGTAAAACCTATATATAGAAAATGGTCCTGAAGGACAAAGATGATCTAAAGATAATCAAAGATGATTAAATTAAAAGATATGCCATGCTTCCAGACTAAGGATCAATATTGTAAAGACATCAATCCTTTCCAATTTATCTATAAATTCATTGTAATTTCAATTAAAACAGTGAGTAGAAATGTAGGAATAAAAAAATAGATCAATGGGTCTAAATAGAGAATCTATAAAGAAGCTCAGGTATATAAAGGGATTTAACATAAGATGCTATAATATGATGATCTGGATTACTGAATAAGAGCCATTAAAACAACTGAATATCCATTTTGTATAAAAGAAGTTATATCTTTACCTCTCATCATGTAACAACAAAAAAAAATCCACATTGATAAAGATCTAACCATAAAAACAAGAGTTCTATAAACCATTAAGGAAAAGATTGACATATAATAATAACATAAAATTGAAAAAACTTTTATATAGCTACGGATACCTTAAATAAATTGAGAAAAATATTTGCATTATATTACAGAAAAAATGTTAATATCCACAATAAAAGAATGCCAAATCAATAAAAGAAACAAAACCCGAAGAATGTGAACAGAAGAAAATTTACAAAAGAAATAAAATCAAACTCACCCTTGCTAATCAAAGAAATGCAAATTAAAACAAATAAAATGTTACTTTTTAACTGTATTGACAAAGATTTTAAAAGTTGATACTATCCAATTTGGCAAGAGTGTGGAAAAAAGCTCTGTTTCTCATGTGTTTCTAGGAGTATAGAACAGTACTGTATAATGTTTTTGGAAGGTAATTTAGTTTGGAAAAAGAAATTTTAATAAAAAAAATAAAATGCAAGTGTGCATGTGTGTATGTATATATATGTATGTGTATAAATTGTACATTCTCTCTAACATAGCAATTCTACTTCTAGGGCTTTTTTCCTAAAGAAATAATTCCATGGATACGTAATAATACAAGTATAAGAATGTTCATTTCAATAGATTCTGTAATAGAAAGAAATAGAAAATAACCGGAAATTGATTAAATAAATTGAGAACATAGTTATACAACACAATATCACATATATATAATATGAAAACAGAGAGGTTGCCACAGTTATTTTTCTATTAAGTTAAAACAAAAACCTGTTATAGATGGTATGCTATGATCCAATTTTTGTAAATAAAAATAAACAGCAAAGATGATGAAAGTCCCTCTAATTATATGAGCCTACAATAACATCTGGGAAATATATGCTTTGCACTAATCTACAATGTCTGCTTAATTGTGGAAAATAGGACTTGGGATGAGGATAGAAGAAGACTTTCTGTTTGCATTTCATAATAAAAGCATGTCTTTAATAATTAAAAAGATACTGAAAAAATTAGAAAGGAAGGGAGAGAGGAAAGGAGGGGAGGGAGAATCTGGGAGATGGAAGACAATCATTTATAGTAAAACAAGGAGAGAGGCCACAGCTTCCAAGGTGCCCTTGGGCCCCTGCAAACTTACCATCAATGTCCTGGCTACATTACAACCCAAGGTGCCAGCTCCAAGCAGCAGGCATTTGACAGATGAAGACAATCATTTATAGTAAAACAAGGAGAGAGGCCACAGCTTCCAAGGTGCCCTTGGGCCGCTGCAAACTTACCATCAATGTCCTGGCTACATTACAACCCAAGGTGCCAGCTCCAAGCAGCAGGCATTTGACAGACACAACCTTGTCCAAGTCTAAAGTAGGGACCAATCTCCAACACATCAATTTGAGATTCAGATCCACAGATGACTCAGCTAACCTAAAAAATGAGAGATTTATTTATTTGGTCGGTCACTTATTTGTGCCCCAATCTTGTCCTAAAACATATAAGGTAGTTGTGGGAGAAAACAAGAAACAAATAAGGAAATTGGGATCAAAGGGAAAATAAGATGAAGGCTGAGGGTAAGCAGGGAGGAAAAAGGTTACTACACAGAATACATGCCATTGTAGTCCTCTGCAATTGCTAGTGGTGGGCCACAAATTTGATACTGAGCTCCTAGCAGCCAAGATGAGAGGTGAAGTACGACGAGTTATAACATCATCGTGTCCATGAATTAAAAACACACCAATTGCTTAAGAGGAAAGTTATTCCTAGTGCTGAAAACAGAATTTCTTCCATGTCTTAATAAAGGATGTACTTACATCTACCCTTAAATACAATACTGGTTTCTGTGAAATATTTTATAATGTCCTTCAATGTAGGCCAATAGGACAAAGCCAAAGGGCAATGAGTAAAGGACACAAAGGTAGTACAGGTATATAGGTCTCAGAGTCTGAGCTTGAAGCAAGAACACAGAACGCCTACAAGAACAGATGAACTGTGTGCCCTTCAGAATATCCATCACTAATATTAGTTCTTACAACCAAATTTAAATTAAGAGTTAGGTAGGAAAGAGCAGATAATACTCATGGTCAATATGAATGGTACCCTGGACTGATTTACACAATGCAGTATTGGCCTGACAGAACCTGGTGACCATCCTGATTACCAAAAGCCCCATTAGAGAAAACACCTTCTAAAATATACCTTTTAGGGTCCATACATTCACTGAGGTTCACCATTCTTGGTCCCATGCCTCCTTTCTGGTTCTTTTCCCATCCAACTGCTTTAGGACAATCTTAAGGCAAATAAAACACTAAGTTTAATGAAGAAGGGAAGAATAAAAACAAGTCAGTTAAGCAGCAAGCTTGCTTTAAAAAGGTCAACATTTACAATAGCCCATGCATTGATAAGCTTCTAGTTCACTTCTTTTCCAAAGAGGTTCGAGAGCCTGAATTTATATCCACTTACCACATTTGCCTCCCCATCTTCCTCAGCTACTAGGAATCTTGTTTAGAGACCCTAAGACCCAAGCACAGTCTTCCTGTACAAGGGTCTTCTGAAATAGCCCTCAACTCTGGCCCAAGTTGCCTCAACTTCTGCCGTTAATCATATGTGGGGTAGGCGCAACCTTGTGCAGGGCTCTCTATCTAAGCAAGACAAGCTGATGTAACTGCTGCACACCTTCCATTGAAGTTCCTATTGGGAATTGAGCCTCTCAGTTCAGCCTGTTCCTTCTGGTGCCCATCCTCACCACATCCCTCTGCTCAGCCTCTTTAATCGGTCATGCATCTGAGTGCAGATCACGGTCCAAGACAACAGTCCCTCTGTTAAGGTGCCCTCTCCTTTGAGCTCATCCTTATCCATTCAGAATTTCCCCTCCCCGACTTATTCCTTCTCCACTGCCCTCTCATAACCCCTGCTATGGGTGCCTCTGTAACTCCAGTTCCAGCAGTCCCACAGTGTGCCCTATTCAATGCTGAGAGGATAAGGATCCTGTGGTGAAACAGACTTGGGAAATACTTCTATTCTTCCACTTATATTCCATATCTACCCCCACCACTACCCACACTGGAGATTCACACTGCACGTGAGGGAGAAAAAAGCTCTGAGAAGCCAGCAGTAAAGAAACCACTTTATTTGATTTAGCTTTGTGTTTCCCGAACTTACATTCCATACCTCTGTCCATCACCCAGTAACACCAATTCAAATCCTATGGGACACATTCAGGGAAATGCTGCTCTACTCTATCATTGTGAAATTCTCTTAAAGATCTCAATTACTTTGTAGAACACTCCTGCTACCTTCTCACCTTCATGGAAGCCTTGTAAATCTCCCTAGCGGGCGCTGACCACTCCCTTACACTCCATATATCTCAGGACCTCTGTCACTCTCCCTTTCTCACTGAATCCCCACTGTTCACAATAAAGCCTCAGTTCGTAAGCAGGGAATTCACCCAGCCACAACCTACGCTTCCAGCATTACCTCTAATGTCTGCGTTAAGTAAAAGTCTCTGAAGGAGAAGTGAATATGTACAGTACTAGTAGGAGAAATTTTATTTTTGTATCTAATTGTACACTGGTTTTCTTTAGTCATTCTCCTACTTTTAGATTTCCATCAACACCTCTATTTTCCTTTCCTTGGGAAAATTTTTAGCTTTTGACTTTTCTTTTTTTAAATAGTGTTGCTCAATATAATTATGAGACCTACAAGGTACTGAATTCCTTTACACAATTTTTCGTTTCTAGGATAGGATGGCCAATGGGAAACTATGGAGCCAATTATCCTTGAAAGCTACTGGGCCTCAGTTTGGCTGCGGTCATCATTCACAGCACGAAGCTAGAAAAATAAATGTCCCTTCCCATTTTAACTCAGGCACTCTGGTGTGGTTCTTTTTCTAATGCTATGAAAAGTTAAAACTGAAATAGTATATTTGAGTTCTTAAGTAGGTTAAGACTCCAGAATTATTCTTCTGGGAAAAGAAAGAGTTCAGACCTACTACTAATTCATATTTTATTTGATTGTCTTACTATTCTTATATTAAATACAAAATGCTTCTCTAATACATAGCACAGGAACATGACAAGAACTACAGAATCACAGTCTAGTACTGTAATCAATAATTGCAGCCTAGGTTTTCTCCTGCTATAGATAAGAAATTATAAGACAAAAATCAAATATAATTCATAATTAAAACACCTCTATACTCAAAAGGCTATAGCCATTTCTAAGAAAATAAGATGTTCTTTAAATTTATCGACAATGAAACAATAATATATACAACAATATTTAATTTACCATATCTGTCTCCATGTAATCTATACCCATAAGACATACCCCAAATTAATAAGAAAATATGTTTTAGGGGAAAATTAGGTGCTATTTTCCACAGTTGGGCAACCAGAAGGCACACAGGGTCAGGAGTTAAGATGAGGGGATCTCCTTCCACTCTCAGCAGCGTCTGCTGCCTCCTTCAGCCAGTTGCCAGAATCCTCTTTATCAGTTCTGGAGAGTGGGCTTGGCTGCACCACGAGGGAGCAAAGAAAGATACAGGGTATTTAAAGTAATACTTCTTACACCACTGAAGTTGCAATTATGGGATGTTGTAGAAATACTAAAAAGTACTACCACACTAATACCTTCCATTCACATTATGATATGGAACAACTCTTTATAAAGTTTTATTTATTACAAAGTTTTATTTGCAGCTAAGAGGGAAAACATTAATTTACATGAAAGAAGAAAATTTGCTTTTCCTAAACTAAATAATCTAAATACAATATCAAGCATAAAAATGTGTTGAAGGCATTACTGGATGATAGAAAACCTTTTTAGGGGAAACCGGTTTCTGAGTTTGAATGTCAGCATCACCAAGCATTAGTCATGTTATAGACAGCAGGGAATAAGAGTAACTCAGTGTCTTTATCATAAAAAAGGAAAGAAAACCACCCCTCTGCAGGGTAGTGGGCAGGACTGAAAGAGTGCATGTGGAAGGTGCCTGGTTGCTTGCTGGACATAGAGACCAGATACATATTCTTTTTAGCTAACTCTCACCTCATTCCCCTAGAATTGAGTTTTCATAAAATATAAGTATGGCATCTAAGTTAACATTACATGGAAGCTATTTTACAATGTGCCAGAAGGGGGTGCTAAATCAAATGCAAATATCTAGACAGCAGAAGGCAATAGATTTAAGGCTCTAAACTAAAAAGCTTCCTCCTTTGACTGACCAAGCAGAGGACTGTCAATCTTGCCAAGAATTCTATTTAAGACATCAATGGTAGAGCATAGAATCACTGCTCAAATGTCATCTGAGCCAATCCTGAATCTTTTTGACTGTTACACTCTAGAAAAGACATATCAGAAGAGATTTTGATACCAACCCCCTCCCCCTCAATCCCATCCCCACCCCCACACATTTTAAGGCATAACCATGGATTAAAGAAAGAAATGTGCCTTGGAACCATGAGGATATTGTGAGAACAAATTAAACAATATTTTAAAAATACTCTAGAAAGCATATAAATCACATAAATACGAAGGATTATTTTAGAAAGAGGTATAGTTTTGGGCTTTATGTGAGATAGGAAATTAACATAAAATAACATTTATTAAGCACCTATAATATGTCAGACATTGTGCTATTTTTTACACAGAACATAGATTTCCCTATAAGGAGTACTCCATGAAGTGGGCATTACTATCTTTATTTTACTCAAATTTAAATAGGTAGTCTATTTCTGCGACATACATAAAAATACGAATATACATAAATGTGTGAACATATGTACATCTATATATATATATACATGTACACACACATATCTCTCCGTATACCATGTTTCTTAGCCTAAGTTTCCCAATTTATAAAGTGGGGATAATAGGAGGGGTCTTCAAAAAGTTCATGAAAGGATACCTACTATCTTATAATTCAGTGTTTCCACAAACTTTCTGAAGTACCCTCGTAGTGATGTCTGTCACACAAGGATCAAATGGAGATATTAAATGTGGAATTAAACCAGTCACTTTTGCTGACTGGTTTATTATATGGAGAACAGGATTACATACAACTTTAAGTACATAACAAATAAATATGTAAGTGCATTAATACTTCATCCTTCCTTTAAGAAGGAACAGTAATAAAGATTTAGTGTTAAACACAAATAAAAATGAAAACTAAGAAAATAAATTCCTCAGGACAGAAAAAACTGCCTGGAGAAAATTCCCTGGTGACAATCTTTGCCTTTGTTCCAGTCTGAATAGCAGAGCATGCTCTCTGTTCAAAGTAGGTGTTCACATTGGCAAAGAGGTAGGAGATGTACTTTTCTGCTGCCATTGTGAAGGGATGAAAAGAAAGTAAACTTAATTCAGTTTCTGATAAATGATAATTAAATGCATTCTCAAAGACCGGCAAATTACCTGGGCTAAATGCCATTTCTGGTAGCTTCACTTCGAAGATGATGCTGTGGGCAACGTCTCTCGCCCCCTGCATGGTGCGGTCACGGAAGCAAAGGACTTCAACGGACTGGAAACTGCTACTCCTGTTGTTACACCCCAGATTTTTATTTATGTATTTATTTATTTATTTATTTTAAGGAAGGAAAAGGAAGAGCTCACATAAGAGCTTCAGCACTCCAGTTGGAGAGAATTCAATTCACTGTATTTATGCCACTCTGACACCCTCAGGGGATGGCTTTAACATTTGAGAGATTTTGAATATATTC